AGCATCACAGCAACAGTAGGAATATCAGAACCCTTGCAGAAATGTTACACTTGTTTTTAATAGAATGTTGCTGAAGAATCTAAGAATGTTGCTTAAGCCGCCAAGACTGCAAAGAACTTCGTTTCTATGACAATGCAAATGAGGCCGAAAAACTGGACGTCTGCTGTCTACAGGCGTTTCTATTTTCCATGCTGGTCACGTATTGTAATCAGAAAAGTAATCTGGACACACGTTGATGCTTTTCTTAGTTTCACGTACTGTTATTCAGAAGAGTGATTCGGACATATGATTTCTTTTTAAATTTTGTCCAGATTGGTCTGAGGCCGGTGTGAAAACAATTTTTAGACGACGGCACCAGAGAAGATATATGAATTATGCATAACAATTTCCACGAATATTGTCTGGTGTATTTTGGTTGGACTGATCAATGTACCCTAGCACCGCCTAACAAAAGAGTCTCGACTTGTTTTGTCCTACTACAATTCAACCACTAAGAACCAAGTTATCAATAGCTATATTGAAATTATGTTGAAGTTAGTGTATTGACTACCAGCGGACCATGGAGACTGGGAAAACCTGACACTTCAGCATGAGTGTGAGTGGGGTTTTCTTGACTCTTGCTTTCGGAACTCTGGGATGCGCCGGTTTACCAAGTAAGTGTAAGGTTGAGCATCCGAGCTTTATTGGAAAGACAGTACTTTGTAACCGCATCGGTCTGACGACGTTTCCCGACGGAATCCCGTCCGACACCGAACATCTGGAAGTGTCCTACAACACCATCAGGAGCGTGACTACCCTACCGTCGCTGCCACAGCTGCGCAAACTGTACATGACGGATAGCGCCGTCACTTTTCTATCCTGGGAGGGTCTCCGGAATTTTCCGGCTTTGCAATTTCTTCATTTGTCAGGCAACAGACTTCGGTACGTGAAGATAGACTCCGTCATTGAGCATCTGCCGAAGCTGCAGTATGTCACGCTTGGTCACAACAGACTGACGTCTTTCTCCGAGTCCGAACTGGGGTGGCCACAGGTCAGTACTGCAGTGATTGTTGGAAACCTTTTTCACTGTGACTGCGATCTGCTCTGGCTGATTGACAAGCTAACCTGTCTGCAGGCCTGCGGGGAAGGCGACCAGACCTGTTGCTCGTCCTGTGCAGCCTGCTTTCTCGCTTTGAGTCTAAAGATTGGATACCTTCACTGCGAAACTCCCAGTCGATTGAAGCACGTCTCTTTGACTGACGTGTCTGCGAAGATGCAGGAGTGCAGGGAGCAGGCAGTTCCTTCAACAACCAGTCTGGGGATTTCCCAATACGTGTCGGAGACGGCTTCCTCGCAGGTAGCATCAAATCGAACTGTAAAAGCAGAGAACCGCGTCGGCCAGGCACAGACCATGGCGTCCACCACCTTGCAAGGAACTGCCCGCAATACCACTAGACCCAAACCAACCGAAACTAGTGAGGACGCCGCTACATATCCTACCGAGGGAACAAGTAGTAATTTTATTTCCACCAACATTCTACTCAGCGGTATGGCAGGGACTTTGAGCTGCTTTAGTGTCATGATATTGTGCCATCGTCTGTATAAGAGGAAATGCTATTGCTATATCCAAAACACCGCCCCTCAGTCAAGGATATCTACAGCTTAGACCCAAATCTATGGGAAACTAAAAGAATTTAATATAAATCCATCCTGTGGTTTGTACTGGTGTGACCATCTGTCAAATGATAATGTAAAGAAAATGTGTAAGGAATACAGTGGTATTCATGTATACACCACAAGATTAATTAGTATAATTTATTGCAGGCAATACTAAAGATTTACAAGGAATAGGCTTCATAATCTGTGATGTCGGACTAGTCTGTATCTTTTGGTGTGTCTTTGCAATTTTTGAGGCTGCATGGCAAGAAATTTAATAACAGTCGCCAGCTCAAAAAGAATTATATACGTTGGCAGAAGAACAGCCAATGCCATTTGTCCCCCAACCCCCGACAAAGCAGAAGCCTGAAATCACGAAGTTTTACAGATGAGATTTATGATTATAGTACTAGATGGTATCTAGTGGCAGACAAAGCAATTTCTTTCATCCCAGCCCTAGCTGCTCTTTGTGAAAGTAACTTTGACGCCCCCGCCTTAAGACCAATCTCAGCAGAAGCCTGAAAACTTGAAGTTTTACAGATGAGTTCTATGATTGCAGTACGTGATGGTGTCTAGTATGCGAACCACACTGCTCAGTCAGAGTAAGACTGTCGCATAGTGCAGCTCGCTGCTCCAAACTGTCAATGTGACCAACAGACAAGGAGGATAAACCGGTAGATATGGCAGTAAGTGGACTGTTGATGCTCCTTATGTTGGTATATCTGTGGACAGGTTGTTCTTGTCTACCAGATAAATGTCGGATACAGAAGCAGAGCTACATTGGGATACAGTGGGTTGACTGTGATAGTCTGAACCTTACTACAATTCCTGATGGCATACCGTTGATCACAGAACGATTTTGTGCCCTTCGCAACAACATCGGAAACGTAACCTGCCTGCCTTCTCTACCGCGACTGCGGTATCTCGACCTAGGTATGAACTCCATAGAATCGTTTTCCTGGATGTCTTTGCGAAATCTGCCAGAGCTGAGGTCACTTTATCTAAAAGAAAACCGACTACGGTACGTGCAGCTGGGCAGGGTCATAGAACATTTGCCGAAGCTGAAAGATGTAAATCTAAGTTACAACAAGCTTACATCTCTCTCCCAGTACGACCTGGGGTGGCCACAGCTAAATTACGCAAACATCCTGGGAAACCCCTTTCACTGTGACTGCGACCTCTTCTGGCTGATTGTAAAGATGGCGTGTTTAGAAGCCTGTAAAGGAGGAAACGAGAAGGCCTGTTGTCTGTCGTGTTCAGCCTGCTTTCTTATCGACATTCTGAAATATGATAAGAAACTTTTCTGCCGCAGTCCGAGTGAACTGAAGTATCTCCTTTTATCAAACGCGTCTGCCCGTCTGCAGGAGTGCAGGGAGCAGGCGGCCCCTTCAACAACCCGTCAGGGGATTTTCGTGTGGAAACCAACGTCCCCACAGTTAGGGTTAAATCCGACCACGAATGCGAAGCCACGCGTCGGCCAGACACAGACCATGGTGACCACCATACTGCACGGCACTGCCCGCTATGACACTAGACCCACACCAACCCAAAGTAACAAGGACACGGCTACAAATCCTACCGATGGATCAAGTGGTGATTCTTCAAAAGAAATCACTTCCCCCAACATTCTGCTCAGTGCCATGGCAGGGACAGTGAGTTGCCTTACTCTGATAATATTGTGCCACCGCCTGTACAAGAGGAAACGCGTTCTATTCGAATTGCATAAGGCTGCTTGAAACGATATAGCAGAGGACAGGACTGACTAGAGGCCCTACCAGCTCTTTCAGAGTTTTCTACAACATAGACCTAAATGTTTAACATTTAACAACTATAAGAAATATAATAACTTAATACAAGAAGCCATAGGTGACAATCCTCCGTGAAGTTTTATATATTTCAACAAAATCCCAAGCGTCAACGCCAGACCTACTGTGCAGACATTATAATTAGGCAACGGTTAATACAATGAGGGCGCGTCACAAGCATAAAACATACAAAGATCTAAATCCATTACTGCTCCCAGGGCGTGTAAAGATACTGTGCTTCAAGTTCGAAGTTCATTTTAATTACACACACACAATCATTGCATTCACATAAAGATCGGACTATTATGGTCGTGTCACTATCAACGAAGGCAGCCCCACCGTCTTACCGTGCCTGTTACTTATTAAGCGCGACTGGCCAGCACCGCGAGTGTTACTAATACTACCGCTGGTCAGATACCCGGGATATCTGCTTAGAGAACCTCTGCTACCAGACAACTGCCTAAACCTACGGCCTATTCCACAGGATTGTAAAAGTAGGGATGTTTCTAAAATATGCATTTACTCCAATATCAAAACTGCTACGGTGAAAATAAAAAGACGTGCATCATCACGGACATAATGGTACACCACATGCGAAATTACACAGAAATGCGACGTACGGAAGAATGCGTTTTGGCTGCGAACATCTTCCAAAAAACTTGGCATCTCTTAAGCATGCGTAAAAACATCTGGAACCACTTATCAAAACTACCCCGTATCTGCATGAAGTTCCATCCCCCCACTGCTATTCCAAACAACGCGTTTTTCTGGACCATTCCAATTCGCCTCGTAATTGTAGGGGTGCGTCTGCAATATTACATTGACCGCGAAAGCAGCAACGGCAAAAATACACATTCGTGCATCAACACGGGCAAGCCCGCAAACGGCGTATAAAATTGCGTGCCGATTACACAAAGAGAACCCAGTGTTTTGACTGCGAAAATGAAAAATCAGCCGTTCAAAACACTCCGTCCCGAGGGCCTGACCTCCTTCACGGAGTAACAAATGGCAGCATTTCATATATGTATTGCATGGTTGTTGAGAGGTATTGAGAACAGAAAGGCAGCTCCAACAATTGATGTCTAGAATACTGCCAGGACATTGCACTGCACAGAAACAAAGGACGTGTATATAGTGACGAGGTCACCGGTGGGAAGATTGAAGTGTTTGAGTTTCCGTACGAAGAAAGGTGGATCGTTAGCCTTCCCGATCATTCTGTTAACCTGCGTCTCCCATTTCAAGTCTCTCTGCAGCCACACCCCCAGAAGACAGGTGAGTGGCATAATCATCCGATGATTAGGGCCCATCACCCTTCACTGAACCGCGACGGGGGCCGACATCGTCTGCCAGATACCTTTGACCCAGTGTTGACGTCACTCTTCAAAGAAGCGACGTGACAAGCTTCACTGGGTCAGTCTACTGAGGAAGACCAGAGTGACTGGTCGAAAGCTCTAGGTGAGAGGTTTCTTAGTGTTGGACCAAAAGTTTGAACTTAAAACACATCTGTAGCTGCATAGTTCCCATTTAGAACTTATATTCATCCTCGATTGAAAGCTCATCAGTGTTAGTAGAATCCAATGCCGAACACAAGAAGGAAACTCAACATAATTTTTTTGGTCGATCTCCTCAACCGTAATTTTTATTCATACTGTCACGAAGTTCTCCACTTTTAAGTTAAAACATAGATGTTACCAGACAATAAACAGGATAGTAAGATATTAAAATGCCAGTGGACAAACTTTTAATCATTCTACTGTTTAACAGTAGCGTGCATAGTCCAGTGGTTAGCGAACCTGCCTCTGGACCAAGAGGTTGGGAGTTCGACTCCCGGCAGCGGGCTGTTGTCGCTCACCCGACATGCACGCTACTGTTGAGGGTCGCAGTCCTTAAGCTGTGCCCCACTGATCATAGTGCTTGTCGAAAAGAGCTAGAGGAATTTCCCCGGTGAAATGAACCTGTAAATACTATACATAGCGTCTGTCTTCTCTGTCACAACCAGTCGGAGATTAGCTCTTCAGTGAACTAAAACTGGATCGAGATAATTTTTCTACATTTCTATATAAAATCGGCACACGGTTGAAAAGCGCCACCAAACGGGTCGAGTATCATGGCAGGCCAGCCGAGTAGGAGGTTTAAAACTTTATTTTGTCCTGATCACCTAGTCTCCAAGCAGAGGTTTGGGTTTAGGGTTATTTTTGGCATGTTTTTTAAGACTTTATCGGGGTTTATTTTTGCACTGGAATTTTCCTTTCACCCGGAGGTTGGGTTGGGTGAAAGAAAACTTCCAGTGCAAAAATGAAACCCCTATTTAAAAAAAAAAGTCTAAAAAAACACGCCCAAAATAACCCCAAACCCAAACCTCTGCTTGGAGAGTACTGGTCACCCACCTCACCTACCCAGTTCCCTGGAGCTTTCAACAAGCCAAGAGTTGACCCAAACAACGTGAATACTTAAATCACCAAAAGACCCAAATAACCAAATGACCCAAATATGTGAATACTCACGTCAAAGACGACCTCAAAGTTGTCAAAAGATGAACAAGCATGTTTTTGTGTTTCTCAAAATAGAAACTTTTATTATAAATCAAAGTCATTATCCACACACAACTGGTATTGTTAAATTATTTGTACACTGATGATATTGATAACTTATTGGTTTATATTGTAAATATTGTTAAGTTCATTTACTCGCTTAATATTTAGTTGTCCATATGTTAACTGTAAAATACTCACTTGTCTAGTTGTGTATTTGTCAACTGTGCAATATTTGTTTCTGAGTTTTTAAACACTAGCATACAATTCAGCTCTACTTATTTAGGCCATGTTGATTTGATTATATGGATGACATGTGCGCGCGCATGAATTTTCGGCCGTTTCCAAAAAAAAGTTTTCAACCATACTGTAAATCGTGCAAAAACAGTTGCTAAATGAGCAAAAATATACCATAAGTTGCAAGGAAAACATTTAGAAACGATACCAATGTCGTAGAATACCAAAATCAAAGGAAAAAAGACAAAAATGTAAAGAAATGAATTTGAAGAGTAGATTATTCGCCATAACATATTCCGTGCCTTTTGTTCAACCTCCATGACCACGTAGATTTCATAGTGAAAGCAACTTTTTTTTTGCAAAACTTTTTTATTCGCACGCGCGCATCAGTTTTGGGGTTCCCAGAGGATGTCATCCATATAATCAAATCAACATGGCCTTAGTTGCGCTGCCACATGCTAGCGATTGTACTCTTCGATCAATCAATAAACAATTATCATTATTATTCAACCTTGCTATAAAGGTTAACCTAGATCCCAGTGTCGTTAGGTGAAGCTTTGGTAAACAAGAGTCAATCCTCTGCGGTGAATTCGACCAGTCAAGAAGTGCCGGTAAACTAACCAAGAAAACAACAAACCAGCCAACAACCAACCAACAAACAAACCAGTCGGCGTGATAAACTAAACTTTACATTTCTCATTCTTTTACAAATGTACACAAGATATAAATAATTTTGGAAAAAAATCACCTTATATAACAATTATTAATATTACATACAAAAGACACATAAAAGTCATTTACAAAAGATTATAATAATACATAATGTTGGAAAAACAAAATATATCTAAATATAACATAATATACAAAAGACACATATAACATCATTTATAAAAGATATAAACAATGTTGGAAAACAATACATCTAATTTAACATAATGTACAAAAGACATATATAATTTTTTACAAAAGATATACACAAAGTTAGAAAAAAATACATCTAATATAACATAATATAAAAAAGACACATATAAAACCATTTACAAAAGATATACAAAATGTTGGAAAAAATCTAATAACATAATATACAAAAGACACGTATAAAATTATTTACAAAAGATATACACAATATTGGAAAACAATAATCTAATATAACATAATATACAAAAGACATCCAACAAACCAACCAACTACAAACCAACCAACCAACCAACCATCCAACCAACCAACCAACCAACCAACCAACCAACCAACCAACCAACCAACCAACCAACCACTAACAAAAACGAAGTCAAGAAACCAACCAAGAAACCAAAAATAACAAATCAACCAACCAAGCAAACCAAGAAACCAACCAACAACAAACCAACAAACCAAGAACCTAAGCAACATCAAACCAACCAGCCAACAACCCAAGAAACCACCAACCAACCAACAAACCAACCAACAACCTAAGAAACCAACCAACAACCAACCAACCAACCAACCAACCAACCAACCAACAAACAAACCAAGCCAACAAACAAACATACAAACAAACCAACCAACTAACTAAAAAAACAATACAAGCAACGGACCAACCAACAAACCAACCAACAAACCAACAAATAAGAAACAAACAAACAAACCAACAACCAACCAACAAACTAGTCAGTGTGATAAACTAAACATTACATTTCTCATTCTTTTACAAATGTACACAAGATATAAATAATTTTGAAAAAAATACATCTTATATAACAATTATTAATATTACATACAAAAGACACCTAAAATTATTTACAAAAGATATACACAATGTTGGAAAACAATACATCTAAAATAACATAATATACAAAAGACACATATAAAATTATTTACAAAAGATATACACAATTTTAGAAAACAAAATACATCTAATATAACATAATATACAAAAGACACATATGAAATCATTTACAAAAGATATACACAATGTTGGAAAACAATACATCTAATATGA